CCCTTCCTAAGCTCTTAGACCTCATATCTGGGCTGGTGTTGGAGTAGTCCAGGTTTTTACTGTCAGACAACTTTTACCTCCATGCTTTGTGTATGGATTTTTGGAGAGGCTTGGTTTTCATGGCTTCTGTGGAGACCATGGGCTTGTCCCAGGTCAATTTTAACATGACATACATAAAAGAGTTATATGCTATAGCTAGTATTTATCCCAGACAGTGACAATATGGGTAAAGATCAATAACATTGTTATTGATCCTCTGCCATGGTATGATCAATTCTGATCCACATGTCTTTCCCCCCTCACTTGACCTTTGCATGGGTAATTGCTGGTGAAGATGGTATGCTATTTAATATCTATGTGAAACCACTGGGAGAGGTCATACATCAGTTTTGGGTGAGGTATCATTGGTGCAATGATGATATTCAACTATATTAGGCCAGGGATACTGTGGCACTTTGGAGATGGTGAGAGGCTGGATGGCTCAAAACAAACTCAGATTAAATCACTGAAAGGTGGATTTACTTTTTAGGTGATTGATCAGGCTCTATGAAAACCCCAAAGTTGGCTCTGCACATAGCCATACTCCCCTTGAAGGAGCAGGTTGTAACTTGGGAGTCCTCTTGCACTTGCATGTACTCTTGATCAGCAGATTGGTAAGAAGATAGGTAAATAAATAAATATCTGTTGAACATATTTGTTGGATAGTTTATGTGGGATATTGCCACATCTCCCACAATAGGGACAAAGTGCTGCTGGTTTGGGAAAAAACCATTCCAGTATGAGATCCACTCAGAAGAAAAAGGCGACTTGCCTTGTCCCAACAGAATACACTTATAACACCAAATGCCTTTTGAGAGAAAAAGTCAATAGAAGGAGGCAAGTGAAACCAATATCCATACAAAAGCTCCAAAATTAGCTGAGAGTTGCCCTTTCTTGTGTACTCCTCTCCATGTTTGGTACTGTGCCATAGCCTAACACTGTCAAATGTTTCCGGTGTAAACTGCCCAAATTGATTTTCCTTATGCATACAGTATAAGCAGCTGCACCAACCTTCTACCCTACCTACCATCCTTGGGGTTCAATTGCACCATTAATCTCCTTCCTACGTTATACCCAGACTGTATAATTCAACCTAAAGTCATATTTGCAACTCTTGGGGAAAATGCCTGGTCATGTCATCATCAGTGGGAATATAAATTCAGGAAGAATGACATTTTGTTGCTTTATTCCAGGAGCCCATATCTTGGAATTAGGGCACATACCGAATACTGTAATAGTTTTTATCCTGTCCTGTTGGTTGGGTGGAGAAAGCAGTGATTGGCTCCTGGTCTTCCTTGCCTATTTTTAGTGTTTGGAGCTTGGTGAAACTCAGATGACCACATGGCCGGCTTCAAAATACTTTGGAGGGATTGTGGAGTCAAAATAGTGCCATGTGGAAGTATCAGAGGTTTTTAAAAAATGGATGTGAGAATGTGAAAATGCATCCTCAGAGACAAACTGTGGAATAGAAAATTTAGCCTTAATTTTGTTATACTGTACATTCATTTGAGCAGGTCATTATAATTATATTATGCTGTCAAATTTGATAATGACACTATCATGGTTCAGTAATTCTATCTTTTGATATTATTATTATTATTATTATTATTATTATTATTGAGAATTTTATTCTTTTGTTTTTGATTATATACCAACATTTGATAAATTTGATAATTAAGTAAAATAAACATCAATGTTTATAATACATATATTAAGTGACATAAATAATATCACAGGTTTATTGTCCAAAAAAGCTAACAATCAAAATTGTAGAAAAGCAAGAGAGACAAAGGATGGCTTTAGCAATGGCAATAAGTGAAAAACATGCACATTTGATTAGACCTTACCTAAACCAGATTTTAGACAGAGTGGTCAAAAGAGGGAATTCCAAGCAACAAAAGTATTTGATGCCTGCTTTCACATTTTAAAAGATTTATCATTCATTCCTGTGCATGTTTACTCAGAGATGTCATTATATGCAATGAGATTATCTGGGAGCTGTGTGTAGGACTGTAGCCTTAAATAAACTTTTTTACATCGTGTTTTTCTGTGTAACCAGAATAGTTATCACAATCAACTCCTGCTTTCAAATAATACAGGATTAATCAAGTACAGAATTAATCCAGCACATTACCCACATTCAGAATATATGATCCAATGAAGCCTGTTATAGTGGTATGTTAGTTCATGCCATGTCTGCAGCATAGACAGAGGAAGGAAAAATTGATGGTCTGAATTACTCAGCACATGCAAACTATTGCAGTAATTTCAAAAGCCCTTGGCCTAGCTGATTTTTTTTTTTTTGGTTAAAAAAAAAAAAAGCATCATTTGGCAATGTGAAACTTAAGTAGTTTATGCATTCATTTCTAATGCAAAATCCTTCCAAGTTCAGACATGAGGAAAGGAATAAAGACGTGCCTGCTTACCATATATTCCATGTTGGAAGCAGGTGGGAAGACTTTGCCTCTGACTTGATTGTGATAATCCAAAATGGCAATCATATCATTCTGTGAGATATATCGCTTTTTCCTGGCTTTGGGGAGGCTTGCAGAATCCAGATGAGTTTTCAAAGCTGCTTCAATATCAGTGTAATTATTAGCTGACAAGAATAGGTCAGTGGAATTGGGTAACACGACTGCACTTGTTTCACAGAGAATGAAAATTAAGAGAGCCCCACTAATGGCAGAAATGCCTGTCATTTTAGGGTCTGTGGGTAAAGTCTGCTTTAATGCAGGAGACAAAGAGAGGATCTGTGGAAGAGAAAGGGTTAAAGAATATGATTGGGATCAGACTAAATCTTTTCTTCTAGTTTCCCAGCTGCTCTCCCAAACCGATTAATGTATGCAGCAAAGCACAAAATATGATGTTTGCAAATAGTCAATTGAAATGCTCCAATGTCTCACGTTGCCTAGCAACCATACACACAAATTGTCCTGTAACATATGTGTCCGTCTTAGTACAGCTCGAGAAGCTACAAAAAGCACCAATACAGTATTTTGAAGCTGAAAAAGTTTCTGATAGCTGGAAATAGGTTCTGCACTCATACCAAAGAGGCATAATCAAAGTTAAAATCAAGACAGGAGAAAGAGAGAGAGAACATGGAAACCAATTATCTTCTTTGTGCTATTAAATTGATTCAAGGAGCATCGGATGTGTAATAATAATATAATACATGCAAAGTAAGCTGAGTTCAATGGCTTACCTCTTTGCAGAACCAAAAAGCCTAGTGTATTATTCTTCCAAGTTAAACAGTTCTCTTCTGTGCTCTAGTGTGAACCTTGGAAAAAAGAGTGTATCTTATTACCAACTTTCAAGGAGAGAGAAAGAGGGTGGGGGAAACTGCAAGCTTTCTAGCTGCTGGCTACACGAATCGCTAACAGCTTTTATATGTTATAGTAAACTACAAAGGGCAACTCTTTTTCCAAGTCTTATGCACCAAAGGGGTGGAGTTTTGTACAGAAAACACAGCGATTGGGTTTTTTACTGTGGGATATAAGGATATTGTTTCACACCCCCTTTTCCCTGACTACAAAAAGACAAAATTCAAGTTTTTTTTCTCCTTCAGTTTTATTTCCTTTGGCTTTCTTTTTTCATAGTTTAATTTCCTGATGTTAATACTTATGCACATATGATAAATAATGCACATATTTTATTTTTCAGCAATCTGGATGGAAAAATACAGGAGGCTTAAAGGAACAGAGAAACAATTTGTTTCATGTTGACACTTGGAACACTGCTGTCAATTGTTTGCTTTTATTCAGGCAGCTCTGAAGCAAAAATGAAGAAACTGATACTCTGGGAAAGACGTTTGTCACCTGAATTCATTCCTCTGAATAGCAACAGAAGCAAATTCACTTGAAAGCAAAAAGGGTCAGGGAAACATCTGGTCTGCATTTGCTAGAGGTGGGGTGGAATCATTTAAGCAGGGAATGGTTCGGCCACTGATACACAATGCAAATAGCTGAGGGCATAACTAAGCAGCACCATGACAAATGTGCCAGCAGCTATAAGGGGTGCCAGTGACCCAGAGCCAGCAATTCCATATCATTGGTTTACAGTTTGGAGCTCCTTTGGTATTAGACAGAAGCAGCGCCAGGTCTGGAAGCCTGAGTAAATCTTTAAAATCAGCCCCATCAAACATTCCAAAAGGGAATATTTTGTGAAGTCAGTGGAATGGGACTTCTCAAGGGAAAAAGTAACAGTTGGAGGCAGCAGTTGGAGGGAGGCATGGGTCAAAGGGCACTGGTGGATTACAGAGGACACAGAGAGATGCTCACCCACTTTGCTCGCTCATCCGCCCAACCATGCTTTCCACCAGGGAGTATTTTCAAAATGCTTACTGTGTGTAAGAGTGGTAGCACAGGCAGTTTACAGACTGAAAACATTGGCACTTGGTCTTTGAGATATATAAGCAGCCAACACTAGGTCATGCATCTCCCTCTTCGCTCCGTAATGTTGAAATGCTAATTAAAAGTGAGAACTTCTTTGCGGGGGAGGGGGAATGAAAGAAATATCTGTCTAGTTTCTTCTCTGTGGAAATAGTTTTGTGAATCAGCCCAGTCACTAGACAAGTGGGAGAAGGCTTAATTATTGCTTATGGCAGAAATCTACTTTGCTCACTTCACCAGTGTTACCTCCAAAATTGCTTCCCACCTTTTAGACCATCATTATAGAAAGTTACCATAGCATTTAGTAGAGTGATGGTCTATCCTATCTTCTACTACATTTACTTGCAAGGAAGATAAGCCTGAATTTAAGATGACCCCATACCAGAGGAAAAATAAATAGAAAATGATCATCTTCATAGCCAAAAATCCTGTGGAGTGCAGCTTCCCCCTTTTGTCAGTTTAGGATTGCCAACTCCAACTGAAACCAGCCGTGGAGATTTTCCCACCCCAGCAAATATGAACATGAGATATACTTACATATGCATGTATGTGTGTATACATATCTGTCTGAAAGTCTTACATTCTAAAAGAGAGAAACAGAATATATAGCTATATTGATTTAAATGAACAGATGACTCATGGGCATATTCTAATCATTCTGTCTACATACAAACTCTTTCACAGAAAAAAAAATTACATACACCCATCCCCCTCCATCTTTCCAGGGGAAACACCAATATAAAGGGATGAAAATGGGCTAAGATAGCTGCACTAGAAATAGAAGAAAAGAGAAAAGGGGAACAAAACTGGATGAAGATGAGGCAATGGAAGATATAACTTAACAAGGAAGGAAGGAAGGAAGGAGAGAGAGAGAGAGAGAGAAGCCTTGTTTACTATCACAAAAAGGGTTGATTCCAGTAAGCAAGTAGTCTGTCCCAAGCAACGGCTAATATTTGGGGCTACCAAATCTGGACTGCAAAAATCTGGATGACCACTAAACAATGAGTTATTTCTCTTTCCTGCCATCTACTGATTATCCTCGTGGAGAAAATTTATCTGCGCGGTCACTAAGAGTCAACAACAACTCAATGGCATATAATCAATGCTGATTAGCCAGATTTTGTAGTCCAGTTATGGTAGCCATCTTAATCTTCAAAGACATTGATAGACACTGGGTTTATTTTAAAAAGCAACCCTATCAGATAGTAACACACAGCCATTGAGACATGAGGTTAGCAGCTCTTCGGGTAGAATTGTTCCTCATCATACTATAGGTCCCATTGTATATGACCTAAGCTTTTCAGCTAGTTTATTTGGGATCTACTACAAGAAAGAGAAGTGCTCTGCCACTGAGCTATGGTCTCATCCTTTATATCAATAAATATAGTTCATGAGTGCTCCAAAAATTTTACAAAGCATTATTTGGGAAGGGAGGACTAACGGCAAAGGAATTGAGGAAAGCTTTAATCCTTTCACTCACTTGCTTATTACCATATCCTCATATCTTAGTCCAAGTTGGTTTTACCTCTTATCCATACATCCTCCCCAAAAAGATTGCAGACATTAATTTGTAAAGATAAAAGCACCTCTCATACCTATATTGTGACTCTAGAATTTTCTGCACATACTGTAGCTCACTGAGATAATTTACCCTATTTACACATTGTCCACATATAAAAATTTATATAAGATTGTGTGAAGATGCAACATAAACTGGCAGCCTCACTGCTACTTGAAATAGCCCGTCAGATTAGCACCAAATAGTACAATCCTCTATTCATGTATAAGTCCCAGGAGGATTTCTGACACCTTAGAAAATATAGGATTATAGACTCAGTGGGAGGCTTTGTCCAAATGGCTGTTTTCCATATGAACAGGTGGCAATTTTTGCCACTGACTAAAATATAATGCATGTTATTATAATATGTTATAATATGTGAAGTAATTATGGGGATTGAGCTTCCAGATTCAAAAAAATATTTGTTTTATCGCCAAGGAACACAGTTCTCAAATTCTTTGTATCATAAGAAGTTTCCACAAACTATTCAAGGGAGTAATGAAGTTTCTTGTGTTTTGAAAGAGTACCTGTACCATAGGACCATTGGATCTGATACAGTGTATATTGGCTTTTCTCAGCCCGATACCTCCAAATTGTGTAGCTCTACAGCTACCACAGTCTAACATACCTGATAGATACCAGAAAAACAGCAGTAGAGTATTCACAGAACATTGGCTAGATTAGCTCATCATGCAATGTACGTAACTCTCTAGACTTCCTTCCAAATTTTACATGTGCCAAGTAAGATTCACTTCAGCAGATCATAACTTACCCTGGCAAGTGGACAATCTAAAGTGGCGTGACGCATATAGCAGCCGAGAAAAAAATAACCAGTTTTTTACTTACTTTGACTGGAAATGCTGTTTGTCATGTTACACTGAAATGTTTCTAAACAAGTCATTTAAAATAACAATGGAACTGAGAAAGCTGAGAGATAAATGTCATCGATGTCATGTGAACTCCAGCAGTGGAAATGTTGACTTTAGCTCTTCTACATTTCTCATAATCTATGTATTTGGAGTGGCTGCCTTCTCTACTTCAGAAGAGAAATTCCAGTGACAGCCATAGAATTCTGATTGTTTTACATCTATTTATGTGGAAAAATTCTACAACCAATTCAAAAGTAATGTACACAACTGTCCTAATACAGAAGTGGTGGTTTTTAAGGCATCCTCTCCAAATTTTCTACAGTTATTATGTCTATGAAATCAACTGTTGAGATATCCTGCCAAGGAGAAATGTATTAGAATGTTATTTATTCACCATAAATATGAGAATGAAATCTGAAATCATTTTTCTGCAAATTGTTCAAATATTATACTTTTTTTTTTACTTTTCTACTCTTCTTCTTTTTTTTTTTTTTTTGACAGTGCTATGTCAAATATAAGTTAACCCTAGCTAAGGTGGTTGAAAAGATGGTAAAATCAGTTATGCAGGATCTTAGATGAAACAGATTATCTGGATCCTTTCAGTCAGGATTCAGGCCTGGTTATGGGGCAGAAATGGTACTGATCACATGGTTGATTACATTCCTTGGGAGGTAGATGGGGGGACTATGCCCATCTGGATCCTCTTAGACCTCTTAGCAGTGTTTGATACCTTTAATCATGGTATCCTTCTCAACCACCTGTAGGGGTTATTTTTTTACTGTTGTTCTACACCTATTTAAATCAACAGTTCCATGGAGTCATGGGAAGTAATCTCCTTGGGAATCCCAGCATGGAGTTTTTCAGAGTGTGGTGCTTTTCCTGTATTATTTAACATCTACATTAAACTTCATTTGGAAATAGGTATCATCAGTATGCTAATATCCAGATATATATTGCCAACCCGGGCCAAGACATACAGTATGCTGTAGAAATTCTGAAATGATGCCTAGAAGCTGTGAGGATTTGCATGGGGCAAAACAAGCTACTATTAAATCTGACCATGATGGACTTGCTAGTAATCAATAGGCATCAGGGCAATCTAATAAGATCAGCTCTGATCATTACTCAGTACAGACTCACGCTCCCATTGAAGGAGTTGTTTTGTGACTGGGGACCATCCTGAATAAACATCTCCTGCTTAAAGGGCAAGTAGAAGCATCACCAGGGGAGCTTTCACCCAGCTTTGGCTGAGGCACCAACTATGACCTTGCTGGATCTGGAAGACCTGGAGACAGTAATTCATGCCCTAATCACCCCTTGGTTTGATTATTGCAATGCGCTGCCTTTCTAGATGAAACAGAAGCTACAGCTGGTAAAAAATGAAGCAGTCAGATTCCTGACCCAGGCTAGAAAAACACCAGCCAGGCTAGAATAGCACCAATGTTGAAGTTGCTGCATTGGTTGCCAGTAGATTTCCAATCCAACTCAAAGTGCTGGTTATCTTTAAAACTGAAAGGGCTAGGATACATCAGGCCACACCCTAA